GCGACCAAAGTCAAAAAAATTGAATTTTTGGGCGTAAATTTCCGTGGGTCCCGTTTTTATTACGGAAATTTACGCCCCGAAAAATTTCCTGATGAAACTGTCCTAGACAAGGTTTTTTCTCTTGTCTTTATATACATTTATATACTGGGGTCTAAGAACCTCACTTGGTGTTCTAATGCCTACTCTGAGGTCTAGGGATAAACAGACCTCACCTGAGGTGCAGACTTCACCTGGGGTCTCTTTAATTAAAGACCTCAACTGGGTTCAAGATAATCAAGACACCCCTTGTGGTCTTGGAGGTTCTTTCGATCCTCCACTAGCCTTTATATTTTAATTCTATCATAGTTAATATGAATTCTAATACTATTCTCTAAATAATTAACTATAAAAATAGAAATAGAACTAAACATATATAGAGCAATTCTAAAATTAATACAATAACTACTTAGTAATAATATAATAATAATAAAATGTGACAAGAAAGAATTAAAAATCAATAATAAATAAGAAGAAAAAAAAAACTTCTTACATCGTAATATTTTAAAAATCATAGTTAATATCTACTACTTAATGATGATGTTATTTTCAAATTTTATAGTACTATCATAAATCGCCTAAAATAATCAAACTGATAAGATGGAAGATAAAATATATCCACGTAATTTATTAGAATTATTTATTTATTTGTTAAAAAAAATTATTGTACCAATGTGAATCACTGAAGTCAACTACTGTTTCATTGGGATAAATAATGCATGAAGATAATAAGATGATATTAAGTTTACGCACAACATCGTATCCAAAGACTAGAAAAAATTAATTGTTTCCTTTATATACAATGATCATTAGATTACATAAATAAAATTGTTATTAATATAAAGAAGAATCTTTTTATATAATAATTTTGAATTATAGGAAGTGATATTCAAATTTGCTTAATAATAATAATTAATTTAATTTTTCGTTGATTTAAGAGATATTATATATTTGTACCACATAATAAGAAATTTTATTTATATAACTAGCGAGAGTTTTTGTTATTAATATTTTTGTATTTCTGGAACAAGAAATCCAATTCCTTTTTTTTTGCCTCTTTGCTGCCATTTTAAACGAACACAAAACATTTATTGTCTGGTTTCGCGGCATTTCAAATAGTTAACTTTTTTAATTAAAATAGTAATAACTATTCAAGCGGAGTTATTAAAGTATAATGTCTATTAGTTGTAATAGGATTGATTACAATATTTTATATTTAAAAAGTTTCAATATAAAAGTATACAATAAAATAATAAAAGAAATAGGTAATTAGAATAAACTATTTATAATTTTGGCACCTTTTATTTTTATTCAACTAGAAAAAAATAAAGAATTAATTAAACAGAAAAAAAATTATGGGCCTAAACAAGAACTCCGCGTCCTAAAACTCAATTTCTGAAAAAGTAATATATTAAACTAAAATAAAATAAATAAAATAAAATAAATAAATTAAAATAAATTAATTAAATAAAATAAAATAAAAATAAAATAAGATAAAGTAAAAATAAAATAAAAATAAAATAAAAATTAAATAAATAAGATAATAAAATAAAATAATATAAATAAAATAAAATAAAATAAAAATAAACAAAATACAATAAAATAAAATAAATAAAGTAAAAAAAAAAAATAAAATTAAATAAAATAAAATAAAACAAACCAACATAAAATAGTAAAGTAAAATAAAATAAAATATAATATAATAAAATAATAAATGAAATAAAATCAATTTTTAATACTTTCATGACATAAATAGATTCTATTTTGTTATTTTTTTAATTATTAATTTAAATACTTTAGAAGATGGTTCTAGAACATCTAACGAAGTCAGAATAATCAATAGAATGAAAGGTTACCGATTTGTAAATTTATCTTATTAAATTAATTCACTTTATTTTTAATACATTCGATACATTCGATCATTCGATACGTACATCTTATTTTATTCTTTTAGTTATATATATATATATATATATTTACGAATATTTGCATTGCTTACATTATTTCTTTCAATCTGGAAAATATAAGATCAAAAGGCGAAAAAAGAAAATTTAATGGCATTAAAAGATCAACTTGTAACAAAAAACTTTGGCATCAACACATATTTAAGTTGTAAAGTTAAATTGAAATATATTAAAAAAACAAGGTTTTGATTCTGAAATATATATTTTATTTAAAAATTCTTTAATTAGGTGGAAGGAACGGTACGAAAAAAATAAAATAAGATTATATAGAATATTTATGCGGTAAAGCGTACATGTACTGTAAATTTATAATATGCGTACAGATATTAATGAATGATTGAATCAATAAAATAAAGTTATTTATTGCATAATTTAACTAATAATAAATTTTTCCCTTCACAACATTATTTACATTATCTACAAACAAAAATATTCATACTTTTACGCAATTCCGAACTTTGTACAGATAATCTGTTTAACTTTTTATTTATATTATTTACAGAAATTGTTAATATTTCCTTATTTGTATATTCATCAACAGAAACCACATTGTTTATGTAATACATAACGCATAGCTTCTTTTAAGAATTGCTTTAAAGAATAAAGAGGAATTTATGCACATGAATTTAGAAGGAAAATAAAGAAATGAAAAAAAAACACTAGAACAATTTTTTTTTTTTTGATTAGGACAATTACTCATAGAACAATAGCAAAATTATCTATTACTTATTACATAGCGAAAAATTCAAGGGTTCTAGAAACCAGAATGTCTCATGAAATCTGATCCACATTTATTATCTTGAAAGAATGTTTGTATAGAAAAAAATTTTGAAATATGAAGATTCTTCGGTTTATGATTATATTTATATGTGACTATGTTCAAATAATAATATGATTCGTAAAATTTAATTTCCTAAATTTGCTTTAAATAATCATATACATGAACCAAGTTGTTAATAATTAATTTAATTTATTATTGTTAGCCGAAGGATAATAAATATAGTACAAATAATCTATAAACAATTTTTTTGCCTAGAAGAGTACAAAAAAATATAAAAAGAAGGATGATCTCTGTTTGTATCTCACGCTTACCCTTATTCAATTTCTTCATTAAGATTTAGATAAAAATTTAAGATTTAATGTTCTTTAAAGTGACGCCGTTGAGTGATAATGCAAACCTCGACTCCTCATATGATTAATTTAGGGAAAGACACTCCGTAGTCTTTGTTTAAACATTATTTTTTTGGATTTTTATATTGGAATGTTCTTGGCTCCCAATGTTATTTGGTTACACGAGTCTATTTTTAAATATGTCACAAATATTCCTATATCTATTTATAAATGTCACGAAATAATAAATATTCCATATATATTAATTAGAAAATTCTCTTATATTATAATTTATTAAATCGTGACAATTTTAATTTTGAGCCAGGGGATGAGAATGGATTCCAGGTTTCATTTTTTTCAATGCGTAGTTGACGTTTTTTGATTCGTGGACTTTGAAATCCGTATTTTCTATTGTTTGATAATATATTAAGCGTCCAAAGTAGATTTATGAGTTGTACAGTAGATCGCATCGCAAATGTTACTATATAAATAAAGGTCATCTTACAATTAAAGTGATTCTACAATTAAAAAATAAAGTACAATCCAGCTTCTTAATAAAAGGCACTTTTATCGAACCTATATACTCCAACATTTTTTTCACGTACGTAGATTAGAAAATCCTTAATTAAGGCAAATTTTCTCGAATAGATTATATATATAGTAATTTTCTTCAGCGAAACCGTCTATCTTTTACAATTTTTTATAAGAAAATTTGCATAAACCTTTTACTGACATTGTTAATATTATAAAAAATTGTTATTTTATTTTATAAAATATTTTCTTTTTATTAAAAAGACTTTTAAATAATTCTCGTGTAAAAAGTAAAAGAAAAATGGAACCTAAAAGTTTAACAAACTCAACTAAAGTAACCACAAAAAAACCTCAACAAAAGAAATTAAGAGTTGATATACCTAAACATTTAGATATTAATAATGTATACAATCCAAAATACGATGTTATCCAATTAATTTCTACTAAAAGTAAATTACGTGCTTCCAAAAATCCACCTAGACCACCAAACAGTTATTTTTTGATGAAAAATTGTTACATGTTAGAATTAAGAGAAATTGGTTTAAGGTATACAATGCCAGAATTGTGTATCCAATCAAAGCAACTATGGAATGAAGCACCAAAAGAAGTGAAAAAACGTTACGACAAAATACAATTGAAAGCTCAAAGCATCCACAATGAATTGTATCCAGGATATAAATTCAGACCAAAAAAAAGACAAACTTTTAAAATGCACGTTTTCCCTCAAGAAAGTGCTGCCAATTTTACAACTTTTAGTTCCACAAATTATTTGAAAAGGCCTGCATCTCGATTGGATAATTATTCATCATTGGAATCTGAAGTTATATCTGCAGCATTTTCTAGTTCTTCGGATCTTCCCAAAACTAATTGTACGTCAGAAATTTCTACTCCGACATTTTCTGATCCCCTTAAATATCCTCCATCACTTTCAAATAAATTGGATCAAAATTATATTGATAATGATATAACAAATTCTTCATTTTTAAATTGGCCATCTTTAGATTTTGGTCAAAATTTTCAACCTTTACAATATTCGTACTCTTATAATCCAAACGAAATTTTAAATGTTACTATAGGCCCAGATAATTTTTTTTTTAATTCAGAGCAATATTTCAATCTTACAGGAAGCAATGAACACAATGTAAACAATGGATATGAATTTTTTCCATTTCATTAGAAAACCTAGATAAAATATTTATTTATTTCTTGTAATATAGATTATTCGTTTCTTTTTCTTCATTTCTTCTTTTCCTATTTTTTTTATGTCATTTTCATATTTTGTAAAATTTTCAGCAGAACATTTATTCATATCAAATATATATATATGTGTATAAATTAATTTATTAAACTGTCAATAATTAAAAATGTTAAAACTTCTGTTATATTTTTTTTCGTAATTGCTTTCGATGTTGACATTTCCTCGATTTTTTTTTTATTCTCTATGATTGAAAAGCCTTTGAGTTTACGGTAAACATACTTTCAATATGATTAAAATTCTTTTCGATCCCTTTCTATTCGGAACTTTACTCCTTTTTTTATGATTACTATAAAAGTATTCCTTGTGTTTATCTCGATTGCTGATCATAATATTTTGAATTGTTCTAATTTAAACACTGACACTACATTGGATGCCAAGATCCATATTGGGCGACACATGTGACGAATTCTAAATGTGAAAGCGATTAAGGACGGGAGGGGAGCAAGATTATTGTACATATACTGTATGTTATACTTTTTTTGAATGTACCAGATATATTTGGATTTTGTTCTATTTTAATAATTCTACATTTTTATAAAGTAACTAGTGAAAGGGGAATATTGCAAGAACGATCAAAATGTTTGGCTAATGAATTAGCACAACGGTTACGTGATGTTACTGAATAAAACAAAGCTCATAGTTATATTAATATTGTATTCTTGTTTTTGTTATTGTTATTGTTTATGGGTTACATGTCTATGTTTAATTCATTCAAAATTATAATTACGTGTGTGTGGAATTTACAACATTCATTTTTTTAAATATGTTTTAATATTAAAAAATTTTCTTACCTAATTAAATAATATAATAACCTTTATTTGAACATTTAAATTTAAGATAATTGGATAAGTTTAGATTATTTGAATGAAGATACTGTATATATTGTATATTTAATTATACCTTATTCGATTTTTTTTCCTCTTTTGGATGATTCATGCATGTACCAATGTAATGCATCTTTGGTAATACTGATTCCATGGTAATTCGCAAGACTAAATTGTCCACCACTATTTCCCTCAGATATCAATTTTAAAAGCTTAAATATAACTTATAACTTCCTAATCGTCATTAAACTTTTTGTAACAGAATATCCAAGTCCGATAATTCTCTTGTCGGGCATAAATCACTATAATAGACAATATACGACCTAAATAATAATAAATTAATAAGTTGGCATTTGTGAGAGTAATTTAAGAGTGCATACAAATGTTTCGAAGAAAATTTCTGGTATGAATTCTATGCGACAAATGTACTGTACTAATCCAAATTCACCAATACGTTGTGAACAAACGCTTCGTTTTTTTTTCCGTGCTCGCTTCTTCAGGCTTATGCAAAGTAATGAAAGTGACAAGGACACCAACAGCAATAGTATGCCAAGAGGTATGGAACATTTCCATAGGTCCAATTTCAATTCTTTGGAAGGATCTCCAGAGACTTTTCTTCCCTTCGAAAAGGACAAACATTTCTCACTAATACAACCATACCTGGGAAATTGCAACCTATATTATTTTAATTTAATTTGTTACCATTATTTCGGTCAAATTCAATGTTGACAATTCAAAATTATGCTTTTTTGATATCTCTATTGTTTTACCTAGACCTTAAGGTGATCCCTCATCAAGAAATAACTTCGATGTAATATCTGCGACTGCACCACCAACTATTACTAACTAAAATTTTTTAAAAAAAAACAATAAAAATACTATCTCAAAATGTATGAAATGATACGAATCTTCATTTTTCCAAATGTGGAGAGGAGTAATTAAATTTATAAAGAGTTAAATACATTCCGTTTCTCGTTTTTGTTCGGTTATGCCATCGTCAGAAATAGGGAAAAAATATATATGAGAAAGTGGAATTTTCACTGGTGATTTTCAGGAAATAATTTAACTTTTTTCCTATCTGGAAGAAATTCGTGCCGAAAACGCTATTAAAAAAATAATAAATAAATTAAAATAAGCTTAGTTTATTCGATCAACAATTGAAGCTTACGTCATATAAAAAAATAGGCATCAAAAAACATAAAAAGTTAAGAATTTTTCTTCGAAATTTTATATTTTTTTTTATTGAAAAAAACGAATATATAATAAAATCATCGCAATTCCTTTTCAGGTATTAAGGAAACGATTTACATAGACTTCTCTTCGAGGCATACTAACCCTGTAATAAAAAAGACTAAAAACTCTTGAACCACATCAACCCCAGATTTCTTATGGGATAACACAAAAATCTGTAACACATAACAATACAAGCAAACACACCCAAATGAGCTAAAATTCAATTCATCTAATTTGACTTCGGCCGTCATGTGTCCTTTTTAAAATAAAAAACTAACTAGCTTTTTGCCCGTGGCTTTGCATTTTCTTCTTTTTCTTTGTTACTAATAGTAGAGATCATTATTATTTATTTACATATGAAACTGTCTGTTTGCTTTTACGTTTTTGATTAGCTTAGTTGCTATTTTCTTTTGTTTTCGAATGCATCCTGTAATTTTTGAAGGTTGTCTAAATTTTTTTTGTTATTTGATATTTTGCGTGCGTGATTAGTGTAATCATCGAAAAAAAATCGTATTCATCTCATCACTACAGAACAAAAAAACCGTCACTATTTTATACATGAGCTAAAGAATCGAACCAAAAAAAAAAAAAAATTCCGTCTGCCACTGCAAAATAAATAAATCTTATTAATTTAATAGAAGAATCTAATTTTTTTTATTGTTCTACTCTCACTCCTGATAACATTTCTTGTAAGATGTTGATGATTCTTAATCTTTTTTTTGACATTGCATACCGACGTTATCAACATTTTCCTTGGAAACTGAAAACTCCTACCAATGTAACTTCCCATAAAAAAAACTGGTCATTACTCATTATTTGTTTACGCAATCTGTCTGTCGTACATTTTGGAAACCATTACATCAGAATAGTTACATACTGAATCATATTATATAAATGTATTTTTTTTAAATATTTCTCATTATATCTTAAAAAAAATGGCAATGAAAATTTTCACAAAATTATTGATGATGATTTTAAATAATGTTCAATCAACTCAAGATTTATATTTATCATTATTAATTAATCGAATCTGAAGTTACTATACTCTTACTTTGGGTCATATTTTCACAAATGTGCAGAGTATTTTGAACACTTTCACCTATCAGTCTCAAAGTTTGTCTTTCTCAAACTACTTTTTTAAATATGCTCTATCTGCCAGTAGGTCAAGCAAGCCGTTACTCCAAACTTGCCTATCTTGAAACAGATAATAATTACTTTATTTTTAACCTGAAGGTTCAGTGAGTAAGGTGAAGTAAAAGTGTTAATACAGTATCAAATAATATTTAACAATATTTCATTATATCATGATACAAAAGATAAGTTTATTAAAATATAAAGGTACAAATTTAAAAGTAAAGTATCATTTAACAACAGAAATATTATGATGGGTAGTGTGTCTATTTTACCATTCCTAAAGGAAGTTTACTTTTCTATCTAATAATATTAATTTTTGAAACTATACGTAATTATTATTTAACTGAAGTCAAAGGTACTGCTATGACTCTGAAAGATTGTTACTTCTTTTATACCTTTTCACCCTCATTCAATTTTTACCCATCATCCTTCATACTTTATCCTTCATCCTTTGTAATTATTCTTCATCCTTTGTGTGTCATCCTTCATCCTTACACAATATCTTTTGGATGACAACACCAGTTATTATTCCAGGTAATTGTACAATCATTTTTGTATCACCATTTATCATCCTTTATAATAATCTGTATGACTACCAATTTACTTTGTCACAGATATTTTCTCCTTTAAGGGAAGCCCCTGCAACTCTACACTTAGTCTATTCAATTTCCATAAGTCTTTGACCAAATATATAGTTATTGTGTTATACAACTGCAGGAATCCATCAAACTTGATTCTGGATAACTTACAAATCCAACCTTGTATAATATGTCAAAAATTCTTTACATATAATATACCTACTTTCTGAAATAACAATTGCACTCATATTGCTATTTGAAATATTTGTACTTCATTTTGATGAAATTTCCATGCAATTTTCTCTTTAACATTGTCACTGTACACTCTAATTGAATATCTTGTAAGTAGTTACCAAGTTTTCTATATATGTTCATTCTTTACCATTTGAAATGCTTATATGCAAAAAACTATCTATATCATAGTTAATACCCTATAAAAACTATAATAAAATATATTTTGAATATATTTTAAATATATTTTAAGTATATTTTAATTATTAAATATTTTTTAAATATATAAAAAAATATTTAAAATATTATTATTTTATAATTAAAACATATTTAAAATATACTTAAAAAATACTTAATTAAGGTAAGGAGTAAGTATGTTTCAGATATATACCTAAAATATACTTAATTTTAAATTTGTTTTAATAATATTTTATGTTTTAAATATACTGTATACCTAAAACATACTTACTCCTTACCTAAATTAAGTATTTTTTTAAGTATATTTTAAATATATTTTAATTATAAAATAATAATATTTTAAGTTGATTATCACAAATATAATTAAGTATATTTAAATATATTTTAAATATATTCTAATAATATTTCAATAATATTTTAATTATTTTAAGTATTTTTTAAACATGCATATTTCTTATAAGGATAGTTTGATCACATTCTTCAAAAGTAGTAAAAGTATCCATTACATAAGGTATTAAAATATTGTCAGATGATATTATTACCATATCACTTATAGGTTACTTAATTTCCATTATGACACCTTTATTACCAAATATAGAAATTGTCTAAAACCATATCCAGTAACAAGATTTTCCAATTTACAGCTGAATCTAACTGACTAAGTAGAGTAGTCTATTATATATTATCTCTAACCAATTAAATTACAAAATGATTTTTTAAA